GTTAACTCCTCCCCCGTTATGGTCCCTTTTATATTATAAAAAAAAAAGTAGAAAGGCACACACGTAAGTGTAAACTGTACTCAATTTTAAGATTTAATGAGTTGAAACAGTTGTGCATTTGCTTGTCTCTTCCCAAATCAGAAAGTTTTTCAAATACTTAAGTTACCAGAAGCTGTCATACAGAATTTAAAAAAAAAAAGTGGTGACACCATTAAAAAAAAAATACACTGAAGCATCATCCAGCATCAATACTGATGTTAAATTCATTCATCAAGGTCTTGACTGGGACCACACTGGCTGCGTGGAAGGATTGTTCCCTTTAACAGTCTGAGATACTGAGACATAAACAAACCTGAGCCCAGGCTAATGCAGCCTCCAGCTAATGCTGATGGCTCCCCACATCCCTTTATCCCCTTGAAATAAAGGTCACCCACATGCAATCTGTGTTCCTATGTTATTTCTGAATTTGGTGTAGGGTTTTGACCCTAAACTTGCAAGTCAGAAAATACATTACACAGACTAGAGTACCCTAAAAGTGCAGCACTGTTAACCCTTGGAAAACCAACCCCACCACTACCCCTTCCAGATCCTACAAATCTCCTCCTCACTTCTTTTATGCCCTTAATATGCACAATTTGCATCACTTCACGCCTATTTAAGTAATTTCAAGTTTCTCCCCCTGTGGTCAAGGAGTGCAAGAGCTTGTAATTTGTGACTGTTGAAAACTTGAAGCAAGCACCCTTCCCACCAGGACAGATTAGGTCCTGTCAGTGTCCAGCCTTCCAGATCCTGCAGCCCAAAGCTCTGCAGAGATTCCAGGTGGGAGCCAAGCATTCATTCTATTACCTATTTTTAGACATGGTACACCTCTAAAATTAACACAGACCAGCAGAAAATTATATTCATTGACAAACAGCAATAGCTTCCTAAATTTTCCTTTTGAAAAACTGATATCAAAAAGTATTGCTTTTTTTTTTTTAGTGTAAATCTCAAAGAGCAAAGATCTTGTTATGAAGTTAGACCCCTACAGAGGAAAGAATTCAACAAAACCTCAGCTGAAGTTAAAACAACGTGAGCACATGAGGTGTTTGAACGGACCAGTGCCTTATATATCACCAAGCTCATATAGATTTATCCACTGTTTTTATAAAAACTAATAAGGCATTTCCTTGGTCACCATTTTCCTGTCTTAAGAGGTTTGTTTTTTTAAAAGAATCCCTGAGGGACACCAAGAAACAGGCACGTATCTCTTGAAATTGCTAGGAAACTTTACTTTTTTTATTAAACACTGCTTGCCATGACAAACAACGACTAAAAATAGACTAAAGCAAACAAAACGTTACAAATAGAAGCTTTAAATATAATCACTATAAACTAAAAGTATTATTGAGTCCTGAGTGCAAACCTGGAAACGGTAATCTACAGGAATTAAGAAAATTTGGGGAAAAAAAAACAAAGTGAGAAAAGTTGCAGTTGTTTTTCTAGAAGGGTCCAGAAAAACTGTACAGATTCCACCTCTGCTCCTATTAAAACAAAACCCACCACACCAAAAAAATAACCCAAAGAGCGAGTTTTACCAGAAAAAGATCTTGTTATGAAGTTAGACCCCTACAGAGGAAATAATTCAACAAAACCTCAGCTGAAATTAAGACAACATGAGCACATGAAGTGTTTGAATGGACCAGTGCCTTATATATCACCAAGCTCATATAGATTTATCCACTGTTTTTATAAAAACTAATAAGGCATTTCCTTGGTCACCATTTTCCTGTCTTAAGAGGTTTGTTTTTTTAAAAGAATCCCTGAGGGACACCAAGAAACAGGCACGTATCTCTTGAAATTGCTAGGAAACTTTACTTTTTTTATTAAACACTGCTTGCCATGACAAACAACGACTAAAAATAGACTAAAGCAAACAAAACGTTACAAATAGAAGCTTTAAATATAATCACTATAAACTAAAAGTATTATTGAGTCCTGAGTGCAAACCTGGAAACGGTAATCTACAGGAATTAAGAAAATTTGGGGAAAAAAAAACAAAGTGAGAAAAGTTGCAGTTGTTTTTCTAGAAGGGTCCAGAAAAACTGTACAGATTCCACCTCTGCTCCTATTAAAACAAAACCCACCACACCAAAAAAATAACCCAAAGAGCGAGTTTTACCAGAATTCAAAGGGGTACAAGAGGAAAAGGGGAAGAATCAAATCCACTAAGTTTTTACTGAAACAGTCATTTTTTACTTAAAACTTCATTGCTGACTCAATGAAAGCAGAGTAGCAGTTTCTGCAGCGTTAGCCTAAGGATACAACTCTCCCTGAAGTCACCTGGACCCACACTGAAGACTTTGGCAGAAGGCAAGAGTGTAACAGGGAAGTTCAGACAGCAGTAACCTACTGAAATGTCATTCCATTCTGCAAAATGAGCACTGAAGATTAGGATTATTTTTATATGGTGCTAATTCTTCACTATGGAAAGCTCCCATGGACTTAAATGGAGACATTTTACTTAATTAGAAAGAGCAGAGCAGGACCTCGTGTGACAGGATTAATGAATTGCTGCAGTCTCAGAAGCAACACAGATGACAGTCCCCCCCTTCCCTCAACCATCACCTCTGTCTCTCCCACCTGGGCAATGACTATTCCCCTTACAGTAATAAAAATTACTGGTACAGTGAAGCCCACTCACATTTTAACTCCAATTTGGTTAGCTCCACACAAAAATAGTGCCAAATCTCCACTATTCCTCTTACAGAAGTGACAGATATGAGGAAGAGGATTTTATTATTTTTAAAAAAAAAATGCTAACTGGTGCAAATCCCAAATGTTCTAATCCTTTCCATTGACATTCTAGCCGTATTAAATTTAGCTGAGACTTTGCAACTATTTTTGGAAGCTTTTAACATCCGAAGGGACTATTCCCTCACTTTTATTCATCTGAAAGCAGGGTTGGCCAGCTCAAGCAGTTCAAGACCTGCCTATTGCTCAGAAGGCTGAGCTGTGCCTCCCGTGCCAGGGATGTAGCCTTGGACCACTAAAGGAACTCAGCTGGCATGGACTTGCTAAACCATCTCTATCTCCAGCCCTGGAGAAAACAAGCCAGCAGACACTGGTGCTCAACCCTACTAAGCCAAGAAACTCCAGCCCCACTCCACAATAGGGAGATGATGCTTAGAAGCAACCAATGCCAGGGCTGAAGATTTTTGCATACTGTTCTTAAGGACAAGAAGCTGGGCTATGATTAATCGATGACTAAAATTACCACAGAAACATTAAGGTATTCAAAGAACAAAAAAACCAAAACCCTCCCCAAACCCAGAGAAACCAGAACAAGCTTTCTGATTACCTTCACTTGGCCTCTATGCTACTCTATTTAAAGCGAGCCAGTTTTATAAGGGGCACACAGTATTACAACGTCACTGGCCGTCAGCCAGATCTGTCACCTCACACAGGGGTCAGTGGAACACTCGTTTAATAGCCCTCTGCCTTGTAACATAAAATTCATGACTATACCCCAGTCCTTACCAAGACCTGCTTGCCCTTTCCCTGTTGGGGGCGGGGGGGAAGGAAGAAACCACATATGTCAGAACTACACACGATAGGAGCTGGTTACAGTGTTTAACTCTTAGAAGATACTCAGGGCACTGGTGATGGCTTGGAATAAAATTTCAAAGTTCCCTTGAAAACGATTTTACACATAAGTAATTTATAGTGCAGTGACAAGCATTTTCAATGCAAACAGTGACAAACCAAGGCACTCAACCTGAATACACACTACAATATTCAGAAGGGGACAGACAAACTAGATCACATCGGTGACAACTCCTCCTCAGAAGTTTAACTCCTCTGTACAGTTCCTGCTGTTAAAAATGAAAAAGTTACCAGTATTGGGAGTTGATGTTCTACAGAATATCTTCTTCTGTCCTTGTTTACCATGATGCATTTGTAGTTTTTCCTGATTGTTTTATACTCTTACAGTATTCAGACTTCTATCTGGTCAGGAATGACATGTAACCATGCCATCTAGTTTTACTGCTACAATAAATGCAGCAGTTTATTTAAAATAATTCTATGTTTTCATAGAAAAAGACTTTTTGTTTTCAACAGGACAACCATTCTAGCCAGGTAAACAGCACAAAGAGCAAACCTATTTATAAGTGCAGGTCTTGAAAGCCTAACACAGAAGCTCACGTAAAGCAGACAAATAGCTTAACCAGGGGTTATTACTTATTTCAGTTGTATAAACCCATCATACATTTTCCTTTGGTGAAATTAGACTCCAAACTCCAGTTGAAAAGGGACCAAATCATTTTTAAAGGGAGATAGAAAAGCCTAAGAAAGGAGATAGAAAAGAAGAGGTGGAAGGGGAAAAAAAAAACCACCAAAGAACACACAACCTGCTACATAAGCATCATAGAGCATCGGTGCAGGATGCTGCAACTAACTTTAAAGCAGCCCACAAAGGCTGTCCCTGGGGGATACGGGCTTCACTGCATCCTTCACGCCAGCTTCAAGCTGTCCACGGAGGAAAACCTTAAGCTGTCCACGGAGGGAACCCAGCCCTGCCCCGGGACAGCTCTGCATCCCCCGAACCCCCACCTGCTTTGAGCCCAGCGCTGTCCCGCACCGGGGGAGGCTGCCTCCCCTCACCCCCCGCTCCCCCAGCGGAGGAACCACCGGCTCCGCACGGCCGAGCCGCCACGTCCTTCTCCCTCACCCCCCGCCTCCACCTCCCGCCCACCGCCAGCCGCCCGCCCGGGGCTGCGCGGCGGGCACCGAGCTCCCCCGAACCGGGAAGCTCCGCGCTCGCCCCCCGCATCCTCCCCGGCGCTCCCAAAGGGGCCCGAGGCGCGGTGGCCGCGGGGGGAGCCGGCGGGGGCGCTTACATAACCCCGGCGGGGCGGGCGCACGGCGCCAGGTCGGCGGGGCAGGGCTGCGAGCGGGGAAGGAGCACACACATACACACACCCCCCCGCCCCGGGGGGCGGCAGCGGCCCTGCCCTTACCTGCGGCGGCTCTGCTCGCCCGTCGCCTCGCCGCCTGCCCCCCCCTCACGGTGGTAGTGGTCGCCGCCCCGAGGACCGCGCCGCCGGCTCCTCAGCGAGCGCCCCGCACCTCTCGCCTGCCCGCGCCGCTGAGGCGAAGGTGGAGGACGAGGCGGGAGGGAGAGATGAGGGGACACCGCGAACCAATCAGCGAACCCCGCCACCCCAACGAACGGGCGGGAGCCGCCAATAAGGACGCGAGGAGCAAACTAGCCCCGCCTCCCTCCACCCCCTCCCGGCCACGCCCCTCACCTCAGCCGCTTGGCGCCGGGTCTCGGTTACCGGCGTGGGCGGGCGGGGAGGGAGCGGGGGGGCGGCGGGCTGCCTGCTCCGTGTGGGGAAAGGTAGGGCCGGGGCAGGGTCTTCACGGCCTCCCCGGCACCCAGGGAGCGGTAGGAGCCGGGCAGCGGCTTGTGTCCTCGGTACTAGCGCGCGGCGGAGCTTCCCTCCCTCAGGGTGTCTGTCCCCTGCCCTGAGGTGAGGAGGGGTGGGGTGAGGAGAGGTGAGGTGAGGAGAGGTGAGGTGGGATAAGGTGGGATGGGGGTGAGGAGGGGTGAGGTGAGGAGAGGTGAGGTAGGATGGGATGGGGGTGAGAAGAGGTGGGGTGAGGAGAGGTAAGGTGGGATGGGTATGAGGAGAGGTGGGATGGGTTGAAGTCATGGGTGATGGGGTAGGGAGATGTAGGATGGGATGAGGGTGAGAAGGGATAGGGTAGGGAGATGTGGGGTGAGGAGAAGTGAGGGGAGATGGGGGTGAGGAGGGGTGGGATGGGGTGAAGTAAAGGGTGATGGGGTAAGGAGATGGGGTGGGGTGGGATAAGGTGTGATGGGGTGAGGACAGAAGAGGTGAGATGAGATGGGATGGGGTGGGGTGAAGAGGGGTGAGGTGAAGCGGGATGGGATATGGATGTGTGGGATGGGCGTAGAGAGACATAGGATGGGGTGAAATTTGGTGGGATGGGTTAGGGACATGTGGGATGCGGGTAGGGAGACATGGGATGGGGTGAAGTTAGGTGGGATGGGGTAGGAACATGTGGGATGGGGGTAGGGAGACATGGGATGGGATGAAGTTAGGTGGGATGGGGTAGGGACACGTGGGATGGGGTGAAGTTAGGTGGGATGGGATGGGGTAGGGACATGTGGGATGGGGGTAGGGAGACATGGGATGGGGTGAAGTTAGGTGGGATGGGATAAGGAGATGTGGGATGGGGTGAAGTTAGGTGGGATGGGGTAGGGACATGTGGGATGGGGGTAGGGAGACATGGGATGGGATGAAGTTAGGTGGGATGGGGTAGGGACACGTGGGATGGGGTGAAGTTAGGTGGGATGGGATGGGGTAGGGACATGTGGGATGGGGGTAGGGAGACATGGGATGGGGTGAAGTTAGGTGGGATGGGATAAGGAGATGTGGGATGGGGTGAAGTTAGGTGGGATGGGGTAGGGACATGTGGGATGGGGGTAGGGAGACATGGGATGGGGTGAAGTTAGGTGGGATGGGGTGGGGAGACGGGCAGAATGGGGTGAGGTGGGATGGGGTGGGGAGACATGGAGTGGGCTGGGGTGAGATGGGATGGGGAGACATGGGATATGGGGGAGGGAGATGTGGGGTGAGAAGGTGTGAGGTGGGATACGGGGTGGGATCAGATGGGAGTGAGGAGGGGTGGGATGGGGTAGGAGAGAGGTGGGATGGAAATAGGTGGGGTGGGATGCAGAGAGAAGAGATGGGATGGACGCTCACACAGTGCCTGCACACCTTGCCATGGTTTTAGTGACAAACCTCCTAATGTCCCCCATGGTGATTTTGTAGGGGGTCTAATTCCCTCTGGGGGATGGAGGTCCCGGCCACCTCCCAGTAAGCAAACTGACCCTCGAAGTGAGCTCCATCTGGAACGGATCGAGTTGTCCTTCATTTCTTCAGACTAACAGGTGAATAAAGCGTATCTCCCCGCTCCAGAAGGTGCATTTTTAGGGCTCTTAAGGAACGCCAGGGTTACAGTGGAAAAAGGCCATGGTCATGATTTAAAAAAAAAAAAAAAAAGCAGTCATGATTTTAAAAAGAAGAGAAAGCATTCAGATGCCCCCGAGGCGTGCTTTATTAAAGGAAGGGCTATTTTCTCTCTTCCAGCTGCACATCCGAGACTGCTCAGCGTCAGAGGCTAATGCTGATTTTCTGCGGTCTCTTTGCTTTGGAATGTAATACAGAGGGATTTAATCGATAGCGCGATACAGAAATGTAAATAGGCTGCTGGAAAGACGGCTCTGAAAATCTATAGAAGATAATGGAGAACTAGAAGACTCACATATAATTATTAAATACCCTATAAAAAAACCCATGGAAGGAATAGTTCTCCATTAGATAAAAATATATAAAAAGATGTGTGCCACTTAGAGCAGCACGTTCCAATAACAGCAGAAAAAGCTGTTGTAATGATCCCACCTCATCTCTGCAAATACCTAAGAGCAATGCATTGTAGAGTGCTGTGTTTGCAACAGAAGAGTTTCTTCCTGGTCCCATTAACTAAGGGTTGTCTGACACCTTGATGCCTTAGACACCTTCCAGGCTTTCTTCTTTGGCCCTACCTTTTTAATACATAATAGGTAATGGATGGTAGTAATTATTATTACTTGTTTTTTTTTATCCTTGTGCCTAAAATATGAATCCCTGACCATGATTTTATTGCTTTAGGCACTGTGCAGAAGAGAAAGCAAGGTAAGGAACCAAAGATGTCACAATGTAAACTAATCAGGTTTTAAATCAGATGATATGCTCGTTGTTTGGATTTTTGTTTTAAGAATTAAACCTGGTAGGATATCTATTTTCCTTTGTCTCCACTTACATGCATTCCCTTTGCATGATATCGTATTTAATATTCTGAGTAGGAAGAGCATCCACCGTGCTTTTTCTGTCCCACATTTTGTGTTATACAATTTCCTTGTGTCTTCTTATCCCCATACCTCTTAACTGTGTCTTGTTCACAGTAGCCAGGCTCAAGTTTTATTATTTTTCGTGTTAGGAAAAAATATTTTCATTGTCATGAAGTTGCCCTGGCTTACACTTTCCTTGTAGTAAAATGGAAATCTCTACAGTTCTGAAAGGAAGGTAATCCATGGTCAGGAAAAAATCAGGAATGTCTAAGTCAATACTTTGGCTTTTATATGCTATGATGGGGTAAAAGACCCAAATTCCAATGTTTGCAGTAAAATGTCCTTCAAATTTGGTAATAATGAGAATGGCAACCATTGCAGGGTTGTTAATAATACCTGTTGTAAACGTTAAAGGTTTCTATTAGGAAAGATCACAAAATATGATATTATTTAGACATGGAAAAGTGGTGCTACAAAGGAAAAAGTGAGAGAACATCCTTCTTGGGATCTGCACCATTTACCCACTCAGGCCCCAGAGCTATTCAGGCCACGCAGCCGGAGTGGGCACCCTGTGCTTCCTAAATGCCGTGGGCATCGTCCCACAACCCAAGTAGCTGCAGAGTGCCAAAACCTGGAGGAAGCTGAAATTCTGGGAAGGATACCGGGGGAGGTGATAAAACAGCTGCTACTTGCTGCAGTCCTGCTCCCACAGAACCCAGTGGGAGTTTTGTTACTGGGATCTCCAAGCACAGGCTTAGCCCGTCTCATCCCAATCCTGAGCCGCTCCTTATCTTCAGTCTGCACCTGCTTCTTATCTACACATTTCATCTGTAAGCAAAAGGGGCCTCTCAAATGTGAATTTCAACATAAACAAAGTGCTGTAACCAAAAGAACTTTGCCCCCCCCCCATGTTATGCTGATTTCTGATCATCAAAACACAAACACTGACTCACTCCTGCAGCATTTGAGGGAGCTTCGGTGAGGAAGTTTTCTCTTTTCAGCAGAAATGAGTCAGTAATGGCTCCAAATCTGTAGATTCTCCAGAAGTGAACGCTGCTTCTTTTACATTTCGGCTCCCTGAGATAATCCCAGATTCTTTGGCCAGATATGGATTATGATTTCTTGCAAATGGTCGAGTCTGGAGATTAGAGTGGATAAAGCAAGTAAAATTAATGTTGACTCTATCAGCATTAGCATACCCTCAATTGTTTCTGTTGCTTTTTTAGAATATAAAAACACAGTTGGATCCATCCAGCTCTGTATCTTGTCTCCAGCAGCTAAGACTGGATGCTTAGTAAAACAGTGCAAAAATAGACTGTGTATTCTTCTCCTATTTACCTTAGAATTTTCCAGAAATTAGAGAGGTGGGGACATTTGGAACTCAGGGTTTTATCCAAGCTACTATTATTAGGAGCTACCAGTGGTCCTGTTCTCTAGGAGTTTGTCTTAACTATTTTGGAGCCCATTTGGGGGTTCTGCTTTCTACAACGTGCCGTGGTAATTCTTCACTGTGTAAAAACAATTTCAGGTCTTCTTCCTGATTGTTTTATTAAGCGTTTTTTTGTTATAGAGGCAGTAAATGAAATTTATTTTTTGATCTTCTCACCATCGTTATTTTTCAGACTCAAATTGGATTTCCCACCAGCTGTCCCTCTTTTAAGCTGATGTGGTTTTCTCTGTTTCCAGTGTGAAACTTTGTCACCGCCCTCTCTATCCTTTCTAATTTTACTAGAAAACGCTCCTTTCTTTAAAACTTTGATTCTACTAAAATGACTATTGGATTTTGCTGGATCTGGAGGAGGCAGGAGCCAAATTGGCTGGAGGACTCAGAAGAACTCTGAGTGTATGAGCAATAGAGTCCTATGACTTTGGGGGTCTCCTTGCCATCTAAGGGGGGAGCTAGTAACTCTTAACCTTCCAATTCCCCTTTTTGACCACTTCCTAGCCCCACACCAACATTTTCAGAGAGCTTTCCACTTCAGCCTCCAGATTTTTCCCCGTGTACGTTCCTTTGCACTTGTCGCCGCTGAATTTCACCCGCTGTTTTATCGCCCAGGCACTCAGTGCAGAGACAGCGTTGCCTCGACACCTCTTCAGTTCCATCCTGTACGTGTGTAGCAATTGCAAAGCAGCTCAGCTACAACATATTGCAGATGTTTAAAGAAAAAATGTGTAAAGCAAAGGTCAGCTCCTTTTCTCTTTTTTTTTTTTTTTTTTCATTTATCTACAGAACATTTTGCACAGCTCTGGGTGCAAGAAGAAAGATTAACGGTTGCACTGATTAAAACTTGGCTGCAGAAGGGGAGAGTATCCTTCACTTGCTGTAAAATTTCAGTGCCTTGCACGTGATATTCCATGAGCAGGTTGATGATGGAGCTGGGTCCTTTCCTTCTTTGGGGATTTGGGGATGCAGAGAAGCACAAGTGAACAGGGATGCTGGTTCTCTCCAAATCTGGTATGGGGGGGTCAGGCAAGTGGGGAAAACCTGTGGCAGTGCCCTGGGAAGCCCTGCACTGCCAGCCTTGCAGAGGGACACCCCCTTCACTGGGCTGGGTTGCTCCCTAAACCCTCTCTCTAGTACATCCCCGGTGTTTCTGAGCATCTTCAGGGTCAGACAAAGGTCAGACAGGAGATTTGAGTCTTTTAGAGCAAAGAGAAGAGGAATAAAGAGTGTTCGCATTTTCCATCCGCTTCTGAGAGTGAGATTTGCCTAAAAAAACCACCTCTTTTTGATTTGACATTGCAAAAATTCCGTATCTAACACAAAATAGGGCTTTGTTATCTTACAGCTTACCCTCAGTTTTGAAGACAACAAAAATGCCATGTCCCAATTTCTGGTTAAGGAATATTTTTAACCAAGACATGTTTTTTTAGCCTAGATGCATGATAGATCAAGGGGAAAAAATGGATTTCATTGACTTTTAAAAGAATCTCTGTTTCAAGAAAGAAAGGAAAAAAAAAAAAAAAAAACTCCCTAAACCCTCTCTCTAGTACATCCCCGGTGTTTCTGAGCATCTTCAGGGTCAGACAAAGGTCAGACAGGAGATTTGAGTCTTTTAGAGCAAAGAGAAGAGGAATAAAGAGTGTTCGCATTTTCCATCCGCTTCTGAGAGTGAGATTTGCCTAAAAAAACCACCTCTTTTTGATTTGACATTGCAAAAATTCCGTATCTAACACAAAATAGGGCTTTGTTATCTTACAGCTTACCCTCAGTTTTGAAGACAACAAAAATGCCATGTCCCAATTTCTGGTTAAGGAATATTTTTAACCAAGACATGTTTTTTTAGCCTAGATGCATGATAGATCAAGGGGAAAAAATGGATTTCATTGACTTTTAAAAGAATCTCTGTTTCAAGAAAGAAAGGAAAAAAAAAAAAAAAAAGCTTTTTTTGTTCTGTAACAAACACCGTCCTTAAAGTAGGATCTCAGTTCTCTCGAATCTGAAATATTACAGCCAGATTGAAATTCTCCCATTTGAATGTGGAAAGATGAGGAGGTTTTCATTTGGTTGAAATGTATTTAAGGTATTTAGGGTGATTGTTGTCACCTGTGGGCTGCCTGTTCCTGCTCAGAATGAAGTCTGTGGAAATCCCTGATGGTGCATCTACCTGCTGCCCGAGTGTCTCACCTGGTGAAGCAGAGGGGTGACAAACTGATTTCCTTGTTTCTTTACAAGGTTGTCTTTTCCTCTTGACATCCTTATCCCAACGATCTTCTCTCTGCAGAGCCTCAGACTGTTTATTTCATAACTGGTTCACTAAGGTCAAGGCCTGTGCAAGCTACCAAGCAAATTCAGAAGCAGTCTTGGAGCAGTGCTGTGGGAATCACTGATGGTGTGTCTACCTGCTGCCCGAGCTAGGAGCATCTCACCTGGTGAAGCAGAGGGGTGACAAACTGATTTCCTTGTTTCTTTACAAGGTTGTCTTTTCCTCTTGACGTCCTTATCCCAGCGATCTTCTCTCTGCAGAGCCTCAGACTGTTTATTTCATAACTGGTTCACTAAGGTCAAGGCCTGTGCAAGCTACCAAGCAAATTCAGAAGCAGTCTTGGAGGAAGAGTCAGAATTCAGCAGCATGACTGAGAAATCAGCATGACTGAGAATCAGCTCAAATTCCTCAAGAATAAGCTGCAGTTTGCTGCCATGTGTTAACAAGTAGAAGCACTTGGTTTCTAGGATTTACCCAATCGAAACACGGGGAGATAAAACATCTGGCTTGTCAAAATGATCATAAGCTCATAGAGGGAATGAGAAAGATGCCAAACAAATAAAATCCAGGAAATGAGCACAGTTTAGCCAGACCACAAGTTTAGTCTCTGAACGTACCATCTTACCTTTCTGATACACTGATCTCTATCTCTTTTTTTTTTAGAATTAAATTCTCTGGGAGGGAAGCTTCATGTATTTGAGGAAGTGCTAAGCATCAGGAGGTTATTTAGTAAGTAATTCTTACCACCTCTCCTGCTATTTCTTAGATTGGTGATGAGAATTATTAGAAGTGACTTGCCCATTGTGACCCAAATGGAAATAAAAAAAATAAAAATGCAATGAGCCATAGCTATGTGACCTCAAGCCAAACGCTTCAAACTCATGTACCTAAATATAGACACCTAAATAAATGGCCTGATTTTCAGAGGCGCTGTGCAACTCTGAGAGTTGTAGGTGCTCTGAAAAATCAAGATGCTTATTTAGGTATCGAAATGCAGACGGAGCTCCTGAATATATTATTTAATCTGCTTCTGACTGTAAACAACTAGGAAAACAAAGGTACTACAAATACTATTTTTACATGTATTAATTAGAAAGCCACAGACTGTGATCAACTGTAAGACACAATTTGCTCCTATAAAGTGAATAGTGTGGTAATTATTGTTTATTAATTGTTGAGAAGTTGTGCTAGGCAGGTTTGATGGAGAATACCATTGTACTACATTTCTTTGCCTTTTATTAATCTTTATCCGTAATTATAGAGACTGACACAGAAGGGCTTTAAAAACTGTCAGAATAAGGAGTTTTGTTTACATTGAGAGATCATCAAAAATGATTTATGTGTTTCATTCTCTTAAAAACGATCCATAGGCCCTTTGTGTTTTCTTTCTGAAGTCTTCATTCATTATTGTGACACTTTCAGGTGAGTGTTGAAGGCATAATTGGGGTATCATTGGAAGCAGAGGAGTGTGAATGAGGAGTTATTAGTCAGCACATGACACCACACACACACGTTGAGTTAATAGAAAATAAGCAGCTCGAGCAGGTGAGTAACAACTGAGACTATATTTTTGTGCCTGAGTTGTGAATAGCAGTAAAGACGCTGCCTTTTTCAACATTTCTACTAGGATATGTTTTCTTCGGACACGTTGTATTAGTATATGCTTACATACATTATTATTTCAGTTGTGAATAGCAGTAAAGACTCACACACGCTGCCTTTTTCAACACTTCTACTAGGATATGTTTTCTTCAGACACGTTATATTAGTATATGCTTACATACATTATTATTTTTATATATTACAACACTGATCTTCTAGAAATACATCAGTGATTGGCAGTTGGCCCCTAGATGGTGCCAGCGCCTTCGTGCTGCCAGCCCTTGTGCAAGGTGAACACTGGAGATGGCAACCTGGAAGCGGTCTTCGTGGCACAGCTACTCTTGGGCAGTCACAGAGTCATTGTGGCAAAGCAGCCTCTGAAGGGTGTCCTCCTTCCACATCAGCCAGAGGGAGGTCTCTACCCCTTCCTCCTGCTCTCCTTCCGAGCTCCAGAAGAGATAGCAACTCCATCCAGACGTTATGTCCTACCAAGGCACTGATCTGCCAGTCTTACCCTTGCAGTGTTGCACTCCAACTTGAAGCTTTTCAGATATTTGGCAGCCTGGATATCTGAAAATCCTGAAGGAAAGAGTAAGCTGGGCTTAGAGCTGAGCTGGGAAGGGGGAAAGGGCACTAGTGAAGTTTGCAGAGAGAATGGGAACAGTAAAGGGAAGTTGAAAGGAGAGAAGAAACAGGGCCTCTGGTCTAGGTTCTGCCCTTGGGCTGCTCCAGTGCCACCTCTGGAAGAAGCCCACTGTGCCGTGAATTCCTTACAGAAATCAGTTTGCAGAAAGAGCCTGTGCTGGAGATGTCCCATTTAGACAACCAGCCCATCAAGACATCCAGGTGGTGAGATGCTCAGAGTCCAGAAGGTGGGACAGCCCCAGCTCCCACCCTTTGCCCGGCCTCCACCTTCAACCCCTGCACAAACGGTGCCAACGCTGGCGTGTCTCTGTGTGGAGGGATAAATGTTTGTGGTCATGTGCAGATCCGAGCTGGCAGGTGTGGGCAGCTCAGGGCAGATGCTTTAGAGATTGCAGCTTCTGCTATGTTCTGTCACGTGGAGTTGGCCTGGCTTGTGGGGACGTGGAGAAGTCATTACCCAATTTGTTCCTGCAGCCCCATGTGCCTACAAGTGCAAACCCCGCGTGTCTGCAAACCCCCAAACTGGACTGCAAGGCCAGAGGCTGCAGGAAAAATTTAGCAAGGCTGAATATGTTGACATCTCCTGCTGATTCGGGTCTTTTTAGTATTTTAAAGAACAACCAGCTCATTGGGAGGAAGGCTGGCTTTTAACAGAGTGGTGCTTGATTTCAGTTGGTGGTAAGCAAAGACCAGTTGCCAGGTTGTCAGACAGTAAAACATTCTTTGGTTTATTTTTTCAGAAAAAGAAACTTCAAACCTCAGGTTTAATGCCTGAAAACACTCTTAGAATCATCCTTTTTTTATCTGTGTATTATTCCAGTTCTATAAACAGGCTTAAAATAGTAAATGCTAATACCAAGATTTGGACAGAAGAAGAGCGTCAAAGGCGGTACCTTGAGCTGTAATGAATTATTTAAAGAGCAGAGCTCCTGAGGGATCTTGCAGTGCTCGTCTGTTCATTTTAACCTGGGAGTCGCACTCGGGCAGCCGTGTCATGATACTGGAGGGCACTTGGGCAATGATGGTTTTCAGAATAGAATTGCCCAGGCCGGAAGGGACCTATCTGTTCATTTTAACCTGGGAGTCACACTCGGGCAGCCGTGTCACGATACTGAGGGCACTGGAGCAATGATGGTTTTCAGAATAGAATTGCTCAGGCTGGAAGGGACCTCCAAAGGTCATCTAGTCCGACCTCCCCGCAGCCAGCAGGGACACCCCCAACTAGACCAGGTTGCCCAGGGCCTCGTCGAGCCTCTCCTTGAATATCTCCAGGGATGGGGCCTCAACCACCTCCCTGGGCAACCTGTTCCAGTGCTCCACCACCCTCACAGTGAAGAACCCTCTCCTCATCTCCAGTCTAAATCTGTTCCCCTCCAGCTTGAAGCCATTGCCCCTCGTCCTGTCACTGCAGGCCTTTCTAAACAGGTTCTCCCCAGCCTTCCTGTAGGCTCCCTTCAGGTACTGGAAGGCTGCTATTAGGCCTCCCCGGAGCCTCCTCTTCTCCAGGCTGAACAACCCCAGCTCCCTCAGCCTGTCCTCGTAGCAGAGGTGCTCCATCCCCCTGATCATCCTTGTGGCCCTCCTCTGGACCCTCTCCATCAGGTCCATGTCCTTCTTATATTGAGGGCTCCAGACCTGCACACAATACTCCAGGTGAGGTCTGAGAAGGCCAAAGAAAAGGGCAGTGCCTTGAAGTTGCCTCTGGATCTGTGTCAGCAATAACAAAAACCAACACTGTGAACCCACTGAAACTTCCATGTGTAATAAAAGAGTTGGGTCTTGCTACGGTTGAGATCTTTGACATGAGAAGTAGTGGCAGAGCCCTGTCTGGGGGTCGGACCCCACTTTACCAGTGCAAGACCCCACTGCTAGAGGAGCCTGGGACTGCAGAGCTGAAGGGCTGCCTCCATAGAGCCTCACTTGGCTCTTATTTGGGACAGATGTTGACAGAAATCACCGATAATTCTCTCAGAGCAAGGACCCAGGAAAAAGTGAATGCCAAATCTTGCCGTTCTCTAATTACACTTTGAAAAGAACATGATCCTCCTTAGTTTTAGGCTGCTCCGGCCAGCTGTGATTGCCTAATCTGACATCTGCCTTGCGTGGGGCATTCTACCCTCAGAAAAGGTGTTTTCGGCCTTTGTAGACTACCTAAAAGTTGCTCTGTGGAAGTCAAGTGCTGGTATAGAGAATTTAGGTCTTCAGACTTTTCTGATTTATGTTTTGCAGATTTCTGAGAAGTAATCAGGTTGCCTTTCCCTCCTCTTTCCACCCCAGGAATACACATATTTTGATCAAAAGCTTCAGTTTCAGAAAAATGTGCAATTTTTTTTTTTCAGTACTATTAATATAGAAATGTAACTGCACTCCTTGGTAAAACAATTCAATTTCCTGATCTGCATTTTTACCTCATTTCAGCTGGGAATCTGCTTGTTTTCACTCCAGCCTGCTGCAGAAAGGTACAGCAAGCTCTGAAGGCCCATCCATTATTGAATTTCAGTCTCCTCAGCCTGTGCATTTCTGGGCATTCCCTTTCCCAAGCGAACCAGCTTGTCCCCAGGGCCTGGCAGGCTCAGCCATGTTTTCATCAACTTTCTGATTCAGCTCTGATCTCTCCCAAATCTGTCAGCAGCCTTTTGGAATCACAGCGAGGGCAATCACGGTGCTATCAATGGGAGATGTAGTATCAAGAATAATTTTTTTTTTTCAGTACTATTAATATAGAAATGTAACTGCACTCCTTGGTAAAACAATTCAATTTCCTGATCTGCATTTTTACCTCATTTCAGCTGGGAATCTGCTTGTTTTCACTCCAGCCTGCTGCAGAAAGGTACAGCAAGCTCTGAAGGCCCATCCATTATTGAATTTCAGTCTCCTCAGCCTGTGCATTTCTGGGCATTCCCTTTCCCAAGCGAACCAGCTTGTCCCCAGGGCCTGGCAGGCTCAGCCATGTTTTCATCAACTTTCTGATTCAGCTCTGATCTCTCCCAAATCTGTCAGCAGCCTTTTGGAATCACAGCGAGGGCAATCACGGTGCTATCAATGGGAGATGTAGTATCAAGAATGAGAAAAGTTCTCGTTTTCACATCCAAAATGCATGTTATCCCCTTCAGACATAACACCCCACTGGAGCTCGAGCCCATGACTCCTTCCTCGCTTGTCTTTTCCAAAGCTGCAAAGATTTAACAGTAATAATTGCACTGTGCTTGTATATTAAGCTTTTTCAATGCTTGTTAGTCCAATCCTCTGCGTGGTGCTGGGGAAAGATGATGTATCAATATTCTAATGCAGTAAAAGCAGTACATGAGTGACAAAGCCTGATACAACTTAGGGAAGTGAGGGTATAGATGTAGTTCCTGTCCCACAGGTGGCCTTGGAGGTCCTGCTGCTCTGTGGTGGTTGGCTTTATGAAAGGATGTTGTATTTTAACGCCACAAGAAACTTGTCCATAGCCTTTAAATTCCAAGCTTTGCATTAAAACCAAAATATTTCTGGAGAGTCTGGGGGGACAGCCGTTTCATCAGCATTTTAGAAAAGTGTGAACCAAGAGATTTAAAATATTTCTTCTGACTGTTTTGACTGTAACTCTGCAAGTAACATAATTCTGGGGTAACACAAATCTGACAGTTCCATTCAGGAAAGAAACTTATTCAAGGTCTTACAGACATCCATTGCTGGGAGCTTACAGGCTTAAGTGCTCTGATGAGAAATACTTAAAACTTTTAATTCATATAGACTTTGAAGCAGTGGGCAATTATCCTTATTACCCCAATGTATAGATGAGGAAACTGAGTCACTGAGGGATGGAGTGATTCACCCAAAAAGCACAGTGAGTCAACGGGAGAGCTGGGAATAGAGTGCAGAATTCCCTGCCTTATCCATTGGAGTCCTCAGATAATATCATTTTATAAATGCTCTGTCTTTGTAAAGACTTCAGTGCTATAATTATCTTCCCAGGACTCTCATGGAAACAAGATATTTATAACTCCATTAAGCCTTTCCTAGTAATTTTATGATCAAAGTGAAAAAAAAAAATAAAAAATAACACTGTGCCAATCAGTCGCGTGTCCAATGTCGTTCCGAATGGCTACATGATGAAAGCTCCTCTTTGGTTGGTTCAATTAAATGTTTGCTATCTTAATGCCTTCCTTGCCTCTTAATTCCCTTTCCACCGCATACCATACCGGTGGAGAGGAAGTATTTTTTTGCCATGTGATGAGCCACACATTTAGAATGTACCAAATAACTGGGAAAGATGCTCGCTGCCAATAAAGCCTACTGGCTGAGGCTATTAATGGGACCGTTTAAAAAATAAAAATGGTTTTCCTAAAAGCCCTTGATGTCTGCCAGTTTCACCTAAAACGAGCGAAACTACCTCAGTGTTTCCACCAACCCTTGTGGATCTTTCAAATTAGGACACGGATGCCAAGACTAACTGCAAACGAGGGGTCAGCAACTGAGGCATTTGGACCCTGGTTCAGCAAAACACTTAAGCATGTGCTTAAATTGAAACCCGTTCTCATTCTGCAAACCCATGTGAGGTGTTTGCATAAAGCAAAGCACACGCTTAAGCGGCGTTTTCCTTGGCAGAGCGCTTCAGCGCAGCGCAGAGCTGGGGCCTTACAATTCATTGCTTTTCGAAAGGAAGTCATTATTTTTAGCTTCCCCCTCAATGGCTGGAGCCGTATCTCGTGCTCCCCAGATAGCTATTTTCAGGAGGTGTACGTGCTAAGCCCAAACTTCTGGTTTCTGTGACACTCAGTGGCACAGAGAAGATAGGGGATGCCATTGCCAGCGTCAAGAAAGAGAGCACTTGAACTACTTGACTGCTGAGTACAGACCAGAGGGGCCTTCAGAGAGGCTCGTTAGAGGGAAGACATGAAAGAAGCTGTGATTATTCCGGGAGGTGGCTGCTGATAGGACGGGTTATCTTCTCACCCTTCTGACTGGAGAAGATTCACTTGCAGTAGGTCAACAATTTTAACTCAACATATTTTGATGAGTTTTCTGTCAAACGTTGGATTTCCGTAAGAAATACGATTTCAGGGAAAACGTTTCTACTTCACTCAAAGTGAAGTATCTAAAAAGGTTTGGCTGCAATGTGATAGTTTCTATGGGTTTTTTTTTCCCTGAAACTCTTCTTTAATATGCAATAAAATCCAAAAATTATTAAAAGAAATTTGATTTTGAAGAGTTGTGTTGCTCGTTTCTCATAAGTCTAGATTTCTTCTCTCTCGTTACGAAGACTCCTACCATTTGTTTCACTGGGAGTTACTTATCCCAATATAAATGAATAACAACAGCCCAAACCTTGGGTTTTGCTCAGATGGATCTGGCCTGTGGCACGTCTGGAGGAGAAACCATTGCATTTTCTAAGATGTTTTTTGAGGGATGCCCCACCCTTAACATCCCTACTTCATATATAAGGTAGAAATACAAAGATAGGTCAATATACTTTTTTTTTTTTTCTTTTTGGGCTAAAAATCTCCTGCTTGTGGAGAGGAGATTGTGGTGGTAGCATGAATAAAAACTTCATTCTGACTCTCCCTACTGATGTGCAGAAAAGCTTTGTGACAGCAGGGAGAGCGGGGTAATAGGGCAGATGCCCCATGGAAAGTCAGCACGGCCCTATTTAAAAGCAGACTGGACAAACACTTAAAGAAGAATAATTTAGATTTAGATACTGTTAATCCACTCCTGAGCAGGGCATCGTGATGACCTTTTAATACCCGTTTAACCCTGTCCCAGTGTGAAAGTGCTGGCTTTCCCTCTCCCAGAAGCTGCTGAATGATTGCCAGGTAGAGGACCCCATTTAGCTCTATCACTTGACCACCACATGGCTTTACTAATCCACCTCCCCTGGTTTTTTTTCTACCTAGGAAAGTATGGGAAGTGCATGGAGCTGTCATCCACCCCAGCGCCGTCACACAGTCACGGGATCCCAGAGTCAAGCCCACTCTTCTTCACCTCCTTCTTTGGTTTCTCTCTGGCTGTCAAGCACAGGTACTTCTTTCCTGCCAAAAGCCTACACTTTAATAAAAAACATGTCCTGTCTTTCAGGACAAATATTTTCATGACTGATTCTAGACTGCTAGGGAGTTGCTAAATCTGGTAGCCCCACAGAGGCAAGGCTTGATGCAGCTCCATGGCCTGGAGTGCAGCCTGCAGCATGGATTCCCAGCAGACCCGTGCTGAAACAGCACAGAAAGGACATGGACCTGTTGGAACAGGTCCAGAGGAGGTCATGAAGGTGATCCAAGGGTTGGAGCACCTCTGCTGTGAGGACAGGCTGAGAGAGTTGGGGTTGTTCAGCCTGGAGAAGAGAAGGCTCCAAGGAGACATTACACCCACTTCCAGTATCTGAAGGGGGATCCAGGAGGGATGGGGAGGGACTCTTGATCAGGGAGCGTAGGGATAGGACAAGGGGTAATGGTTTCAAACTGGAAGAGGGGAGAATGTAGTTCTCACCAGGCACGAGATCACACCATGTCTGGAAAAACTCCCAAAATGCAGAAACTACACCAGGATTGTGCTCATGTTTAGGACAGATCAGAAGCCACGGGCAGTGGTGTGTTATTAAATCCTCACTTTTAGTTGGCTTCAGGTGCCTTTTCATCATTCTAACCCAACTGATGCTGACCTTCAGGTTATACTTTCCTTTAGGGACCTTTTTAAAAAGTCAAGTTTGCTGCTACAGGGTTTTCTTTTTTTGAGCTATTTCTCTTGGGAAATAAAAAACAACCAAAACAAAACCACACATATAATCAAGTTTGCCGCTACAGGGTTTTCCTTTTTTGAGCTATCTCTCTTGGGAAAAAAAAAAACAACCAAAACAAAACCACACATATACACAAAATAAACCCAGAATTAATTAAACAGAAAAATAAAACGCAGCACACATTGGGATAAAAAGAAATCTTTGCAAAGCTACAAGATACCCGAACAGATATAGTGGACATTGCCAAATTTTAAAAGTAAAATATAAACTTTTGGGTAAAAAGGGAAACCAAGGGAATAGTTTTCAGTTCTGGAAGAGCTTCTGAAACCCCAGTTAAAGAGTGCAACTTTTGCAGAGTGAACTGCTGTGAGCTAAAGTCGAAGTTGGATGAATCATTTTTCCAGCCTTATAAATCATTAAAGTTTGTTAAATTGTTGTGTCTGTAATTGAGGTAAGCAAACCATTTAATGACTTATACAATGTGTTATTTTCCTATGGATGTTATTCCCATAGTTTTTACTGCTGATGGAAGTCCTTTTTTTTTTTTTTTTTCCTGCAAATACCTCTAAAATGATGAATAATCGTTACTTAAAAGACTAAAAATACATGTCAGCTCTTATCGTACATGAAATCTGACAGCAGTTACAGTGTTGGGATCTGAACTTATTTGACAGCTTCTTTGAACAACTTTTACTAGGATTAAATATTTTTAGATTTGTGCAATTTGTTCTATCAGTCAGTCATGTTGAAGGGAAAGTAAAAGTGTTCTAGATATTAGACAACCAGCCTAATGGATGGCAAGAGCTTTTCTTGCAATGGCTTTTTGTTAAAGCCAAATGTCATGATCAAACTTTCATTGCATATTCGTGCAAGGATTCTGAACCCTGTGGAGCAAATAAAGCTCAGGAGAAATTTTGGGTGCTCCAGTGGAACAGTGTTTCCCGTGCTTGCAATTTCTCCATTAGAAATGCTTTTAATTTCCAAAAAGTTGGCACCGCTTGTAGGCAGAGCAGGACAGATCTTCACGGAGCGACACAGGCAGTGACACACAGGCAGTGTGAGTCTGTCGTGGCTGCAGATCTGCTCCAGAGGTCTCTGCTCAGCGCTGTCCCATATTTTGTGCACCCCAGCACCAGGGAGATCTGTGGAGGTGCCACACAGCCCTGCTTTGGCCCCGGTTCAAAGGGACCTGCAGGAAGCAGAGACCTGGCCCACGGGACCTGCCTTTCTGCTGGTTCTAGCACAACTTCCACGCAGGATTTCCAAACGTAGCACCTTTTCGTCCAGAATGCCTGGTTGGTGAGTTTAGTGTATCAGGTTTGCAAAGTCTGTGAATAATTGGCCCACAAATGATGAGGAGGAGAGCTTGGTTTTGAAATACCAGGAGGTAGGCAGCCAGGTGAGGAGCACAGTTACGACTATACTGGTATGGCACACCACAACCCAGGGTATAAACAGCATTTAAAGTTTAAATGAAGAACCGTTAAGGCAGAGAACCTATCTGAAGATACAGGACAGGGACACAGCTCAGTGGTGCATCCCTCCAGAGGTGGCTGGCAAAGGAAGGTCAGTTAGAGCTGGGCAGCTTTCAGTCCCGGGATTTATACTGGATCCGGAACGGTGCCATGGGTTGCTGGGTCCCCACCAAGTGTAAAGGGCTCTGCAAAAAGAAGAAAATCAGAAGAAACATTTAAGTTAGTTCAGTTAATGGAATTATCATTGTGATATAAACATATTCTTGGAATTGTGGTCTTGGAGAACCAAGACCAAATACTGAGAGCATTTCTTGGCTTTGCTGAAGCCATTGAGTAGGGCCTTCATCATTGCTTTTTATTCCACTTGCTCTGACAGAGGATGACAATGAGATCTTAAGAAACTAATGGTTTTAAATATCTTCATCAGCATAATTGCCTGTGGGTGCAGACCCGAGTTACAACCAACTGCAGTGAGAGCTGATTGTATAACACACCATCAGCCAGGAAGAGGCAACCTTCCCCCTTATTCTGGGTGGACCTTCCACCACTACTGGAGATCAACATCTCGCGTTCTTCAAGGATACCAGAGGAATTAAGTCCTCGGAGCTTCCAACTTCCAGCCTAAAAGGGCAATCATACGAAGCCCATGCCATGCATCTGATTTCATATCTTTATAAAGTATTTGTAATTTTTGTGAGTGGCAGAAAGCAATTCTAAAATCTCTTGTAAACTTTAGGCAACGAGGAGAAAAAATAATTTCGTAGGGACGTTCCTGTACAGACAGCACAGCCCCACTGATGTTGCCGGAGCTACGCTGGCTTTTCTGAGTTAAAAGAAGATCAAGTTATTCATTGCATGTTTTATTAAAAAAACATTACATGTTTTATCAAAAATTTTGCTTCATCAGAGATAACCAAAATTGAGTATGGCTGTTCAGCTGAGTGTGATGAATGAAGGATATAAAGACGTGGAATGCTATATAAATGCATGGATTTTTTTATGCATGGATTTTTTACCTCCTTTGGTATTGCATCCAAAAGCACAAATTCATATCTGTACAGGAACAGCACAACGAACAACTGGATTTCCATGATAGCAAACCACCTGCAAGAAAAGGGAGGAAAACGTTGGCCTGAGCATCGCACGTGTATCATCACCGGGTGACAAACAAGGGGTCTTTGACACATTTTACATCCCATGCTTTAGTTCTGCCTGAAAGTTTATCATCTCCAGCAGGAAAAGATGCTGTAGCTTTGTTCAGCTTCATTACCCAGCAAAGAGCAGGAATGTTTCAGTTGCCCCTTCCCTCCGGTGAAACGTTAGCCCGACAGCATCCCTCTGACACCCTATTTTAAACCAGCCCCTTATCATTATGGGTTTTTTCCACTCTATAAACATTGATGTTCTTCTAACGCTTGCCGACTTGAAATAACTTCATCGGGGTGAGAAGACAGTCAAATATAGAAAAGGCTATATGACTAATTGTGCTATATAAAGTTATATAATTCAGCTGGGAGCCTGATGACATCAGAGTGGTTGTGACAGCGGGAGTTATTATTTAATGCGTCAGCGGCAGAATGCGGGATGAGACCCAAGGGCATGCTTTCTGCTTGGGTTTGTTTTTTTTTCTGTAACACTCTCAAGAAAGGTCTGTCTTAGTCAGTCTGGAGAAGATCTCAGCTAACTGCAGGTGAGCTCCTCTGAGCTGTACAAGAGCTTTCTGCATCCAGGCATTAGCACGTACCTCTGCCAGGTCATGGGATTACTCACTTGCAGAATACAGCCCTAAGTGTTCAATAGCTAGTTAAAATAGTAATACTACCTTGCTCTTCTACACAGTTCACAGAATCAGAATCACAGAATCTTCTAGGTTGGAAGGGACCTTAAAGATCATCTTGTCCAACCGTCAACCTAACTGACAAAAATAGACACCCACACAACAAACAAGGAGCATCATCACTAAACCAGACCTCCCAGCACT